AATCCTACATATAGATGTTCGCAGATCACACAAAGTTAATGAGAAGAGTTGTGACAGATGAGGATCGTAGGATTCTCCAAGAGGACTTGAACAGGTTGCAGAGATGGTCAGAGAAATGGCTACTGGAGTTCAACACGAGCAAATGTAAAGTTATGGAAATGGGATTAGGTGATAGGAGACCAAAGGAACAGTACACAATGAAGGGGAACAGCCTACCTGTGACGACGCGAGAAAGAGACCTGGGCGTGGACGTAACACCTAATCTAACTCCTGAGGCACCTATAAATAGGATAACGACAGCAGCGTACTCTACACTGGCAAAAGTTAGAACATCATTCAGAAACCTAAGTAACGAGGCATTTAGGGCGCTTTACACTGCCTACGTGAGGCCAGTCTTAGAGTATGCCGCCTCATCATGGAGTCCCCACCTAAAAAAACACATAATGAAACTGGAGAAGGTTCAGAAGTTTGCAACGAGACTCGTCCCAACGTTACGAGGGATGGGGTATGAAGAGCGCCTGAAGGAACTGAGCCTTAGTAAACTAGAAAAAAGAAGGGAGAGGGGGGATATGATAGGAACGTATAAAATACTCAGGGGGATTGACAGTGTGGACATAGACGAAATGTTCACACGGAATAGGTTCTGAACGAGGGGACATGGGTGGAAGCTGGAAACTCAGATGAGTCACAGAGATCTTAGACAGTTTTCTTTTAGCGTGAGAGTAGTGGAAAAATGGAATGCACTTAAGGAACAGGTTGTGGAAGCAAATTCTATTCATAATTTTAAAACTAGGTATGATAGGGAAATACGACAGGGGTCATTACTGTAAACAACCGATGGCCCGAAAGGCGGGATCCAAGAGTCAATACTCGATCCTGCAGGCACAAATAGGTAAGTATAAATAGGTGAGTACACACACGCACACCCATTCAACACACACACTCACCCACTACACACAAACGCACACACACAGAGGAGGACTGCTTGAGGCTTCAAGTAGACCTAGACAAACTAAAGGAATGGTCGAACAAATGGTTGTTAGAGTTTAACCCCAGCAAATGTAATGTAATGAAGATAGGTGTAGGAAGCAGGAGGACAGTTACAAGGTATCATTTGGGAGATGAAATTCTTCAGGAGTCAGAGAGAGAAAGACCTGGACCTATCACGCCAGACCTGTCCCCTGAAGCTCATATCAAGAGGATAACATCGGCAGCATGTGCCAGGTTGGCTAACATAAGAACGGCATTTAGACACTTGTGCAAGCAATCATTTAGAACTTTGTATACTACCTGTGTCAGACCAATCATGGAGTATGCAGCCCCCAGTATGGAGTCCATATCTAGTCAAGCATAAGACTAAACTAGAAAAAGTTCAAAGGTTTGCCACCAGACTAGTACCCGAGCTGAGAGGTATGACCTACGAGGAAAGACTACGGGAATTAAACCTCACGTCGCTAGAAGACAGAAGAGTTAGGGGGGGATATGATCACCACGTACAATATTCTCAGAGGTATTGACAGGGTTGATAAAGACAGGCTGTTTAACACAAGAGGCACACGCACTAGAGGACACAGGTGGAAACTGAGCGCCCAAATGAGCCACAGAGATATGAGAAAGAACTTTTTTAGTGTCAGAGTGGTTGACAAATGGAATGCATTAGGAAGTAATGTGGTGGAGGCTGGCTCCATACACAGTTTCAAGTGTAGATATGATAGAGCCCAATAGGCTCAGGAACCTGTACACCTGTTGATTGACGGTTGAGAGGCGTGATCAAAGATAAGAGCTCAACCCCGCAAGCACAGCTAGGTGACTACAACTAGGTGAGTAACGTATGCTAGACCAATACTTCAATATGCAGCCGAAGCTCAACCCCCGAAAGCACAACGAAGGTGAGTACCAACACACACGTCCACAACCAGACAAAGGGGCCTGACGGCTGAGTGGACAGCTCTCGGGGTTCGTAGCCCTAGGGTCCGGGGATCGATCCCCGGCCGAGGCGGAAACAAATGGGCAGAGTTTCTTTCGCACTGATGCCCCTGTTACCTAGCAGTGAACAGGTAGATACACAGATGAGGCAGGACCAGAGGACACAGGTGGAGGCTGTGACACAGATGAGGCAGGACCAGAGGACACAGGTGGAGGCTGTGACACAGATGAGGCAGGACCAGAGGACACAGGTGGAGGCTGTGACACAGATGAGGCAGGACCAGAGGACACAGGTGGAGGCTGTGACACAGATGAGGCAGGACCAGAGGACACAGGTGGAGGCTGTGACACAGATGAGGCAGGACCAGAGGACACAGGTGGAGGCTGTGACACAGATGAGGCAGGACCAGAGGACACAGGTGGAGGCTGTGACACAGATGAGGCAGGACCAGAGGACACAGGTGGAGGCTGTGACACAGATGAGGCTGGACCAGAGGACACAGGTGGAGGCTGTGACACAGATGAGGCTGGACCAGAGGACACAGGTGGAGGCTGTGACACAGATGAGGCAGGACCAGAGGACACAGGTGGAGGCTGTGACACAGATGAGGCAGGACCAGAGGACACAGGTGGAGGCTGTGACACAGATGAGGCAGGACCAGAGGACACAGGTGGAGGCTGTGACACAGATGAGGCAGGACCAGAGGACACAGGTGGAGGCTGTGACACAGATGAGGCAGGACCAGAGGACACAGGTGGAGGCTGTGACACAGATGAGGCAGGACCAGAGGACACAGGTGGAGGCTGTGACACAGATGAGGCAGGACCAGAGGACACAGGTGGAGGCTGTGACACAGATGAGGCAGGACCAGAGGACACAGGTGGAGGCTGTGACACAGATGAGGCAGGACCAGAGGACACAGGTGGAGGCTGTGACACAGATGAGGCAGGACCAGAGGACACAGGTGGAGGCTGTGACACAGATGAGGCAGGACCAGAGGACACAGGTGGAGGCTGTGACACAGATGAGGCTGGACCAGAGGACACAGGTGGAGGCTGTGACACAGATGAGGCTGGACCAGAGGACACAGGTGGAGGCTGTGACACAGATGAGGCAGGACCAGAGGACACAGGTGGAGGCTGTGACACAGATGAGGCAGGACCAGAGGACACAGGTGGAGGCTGTGACACAGATGAGGCAGGACCAGAGGACACAGGTGGAGGCTGTGACACAGATGAGGCAGGACCAGAGGACACAGGTGGAGGCTGTGACACAGATGAGGCAGGACCAGAGGACACAGGTGGAGGCTGTGACACAGATGAGGCAGGACCAGAGGACACAGGTGGAGGCTGTGACACAGATGAGGCAGGACCAGAGGACACAGGTGGAGGCTGTGACACAGATGAGTGACAAAAATCTCAATTACGAAGCCCGCGTGACATAGTTGATCTGAATTAAAGAAAACTCTAAATTGAATAATAAGGAATTACAATATAATTAACGGACCTGGAGATAAGTAAAGGCGGGGCTAGGGAGCTATGGCTCAACCCAACAATCAGATCCAAGACATAAAATGCAAATCAGAACAGCAGACGCCGAGCAAGCACTCCGAGCTTTTGTAACAATGACTATACTGGCTGAAAACACCCACCTCATTATTACCTGTGGTAAACTGTGGTATACCCAGGTATACCCCCTCACTACCCATACCCCCCCCCCACGACACCTGCCCAGGGCACGCTAGAGTAATTATCATGAATTAAAACATCGGGGTCAGCCATTATGCGCGTCTGGGCACCACTTGAGTGACGGCTAGTTAAGCTTTCAGAAATTACACCGTGCGATTCTGGGTACGGGTATCGTGGGGGAGGGGGGGGGTATCGTGCCGGTGACTCCCTCTGGGGAATCGTGGGGTGGTATCGTGCCCGTGACTCGCTCGGGGGTATCGTGGTATTCATTGAAATAAATCTTTATTTACCAGCGAACTATCAAAAAATAATAATCCGGGTTATATCGTTCTGGACCCGATCCGGATTTGATGAAATTGACTTTTTTTGGGGCTATTTAATATGTTTTCAAACGCTAATGATACACAAATAATATATAAACAGATTTTGGTAAGGTAAAATGGCAGGGATAAGGGCATGGAAATTTGGGAAGGGACGAGGGCTAGGAATGGTGCCCAACCACTTGGATGGTCGGGGATTGAACGCCGCCATGCATGACCGTCTGCCAGGCCGTCGCTCTACCATCCAGCCCAAGTGGTTGCTTGATGATCTTAGCGAGTATAATTAAGTATAAATGTATACAAAGTGCTTATACAAACGAATTTGATACGTAATGGAGCCGGCAGGATTAATATTCTGATCACGTGGGCAGGATTGATCAGGATGGCTAATCACCAGTAGACAGATTTGGTCCAGATTTTCGCCACGTCCGGAAAATCTGGGTCCGGATTTTCGGGGTGCTCCTTCTCTTGAGGTTACCTTGAGATGATTTCGGGGCTTAGTGTCCCCGCGGCCCGGTCCTCGACCAGGCCTCCACCCCCAGGAAGCAGCCCGTGACAGCTGACTAACACCCAGGTACCTATTTACTGCTAGGTAACAGGGGCATCAGGGTGAAAGAAACTCTGCCCATTGTTTCTCGCCGGCGCCCGGGATCGAACCCGGGACCACAGGATCACGTGTCCAGTGTTCTGTCCGCTCAGCCGCCGGCTCCTAAATCCAGTAAAATCCTGCTCTCAAATCCTGCTCTCGAATCCTGCTCTCAAATCCTGCTCTCAAATCCTGCTCTCGAATCCTGCTCCTGTAAATCCCTACAATTTATTTCCATATTGATCGATAGTTGCACCAAATACACATTTTATCCTTACTCAATGGTGATTGCTCATCAGTATCTAATACGTCGCGATCACTACTCCTCTTTCTCATCACTCTTTTAATGTAGTAAGATCCAGTACCTTCAAGGCACCAAAAATTCTGATATTTGGGTTCCATGTTGGAGCTGCATACTAGTCTCACGAAGGTTGTGTTTATTGGCCCAAGGGCCTCCTAAACAAGATTTCTGAAAGCTACTATTTGATGTCTGGCTGTGTTGCGTATGGCGCTGATGTGATCCTGGTCGCTTGTGGCCCTGAGCACAGGTGTTGTGTGCTCCTAACACCTGCAGGTGTCCCGTCCAGGCACCCGACCAGGCACCCGTCCAGGTACCCGTCCAGGCACCCGTCCAGGTACCCGTCCAGGCACCCGTCCAGGTACCCGTCCAGGCACCCGTCCAGGTACCCGTCCAGGCACCCGTCCAGGCACCCGTCCAGGTACCCGTCCAGGCACCCGTCCAGGTACCCGTCCAGGCACCCGTCCAGGTACCCGTCCAGGCACCCGTCCAGGCACCCGTCCAGGTACCCGTCCAGGTACCCGTCCAGGCACCCGTCCAGGCACCCGTCCAGGCACCCGTCCAGGCACCCGTCCAAGCACCCGTCCAGGTACCCGTCCAGGCACCCGTCCAGGTACCCGTAAAGGTACCCGTCCAGGCACCCGTCCAGGCACCCGTCCAGGCACCCGTCCAGGTACCCGTCCAGGCACCCGTCCAGGCACCCGTCCAGGCACCCGTCCAAGTACCCGTCCAGGTACCCGTCCAGGTACCCGTCCAGGTACCCGTCCAGGTACCCGTCCAGGCACCCGTCCAGGCACCCGTCCAGGCACCCGTCCAGGCACCCGTCCAGGTACCCGTCCAAGTACCCGTCCAGGTACCCGTCCAGGTACCTGTCCAGGCACCCGTCCAGGCACCCGTCCAGGCACCCGTCCAGGTACCCGTCCAGGTACCCGTCCAGGTACCCGTAAAGGTACCCGTCCAGGTACCCGTCCAGGCACCCGTCCAAGTACCCGTCCAGGTACCCGTCCAAGTACCCGTCCAGGTACCCGTAAAGGTACCCGTCCAGGCACCCGTCCAGGCACCCGTCCAGGCACCCGGCCAGGTACCCGTCCAGGTACCCGTCCAGGTACCCGTCCAGGTACCCGTCCAGGCACCCGTCCAGGCACCCGTCCAGGCACCCGTCCAAGCACCCGTCCAGGTACCCGTCCAGGCACCCGTCCAGGTACCCGTAAAGGTACCCGTCCAGGCACCCGTCCAAGCACCCGTCCAGGCACCCGTCCAGGTACCCGTCCAGGCACCCGTCCAGGCACCCGTCCAGGCACCCGTCCAAGTACCCGTCCAGGTACCCGTCCAAGTACCCGTCCAGGTACCTGTCCAGGCACCCGTCCAGGCACCCGTCCAGGCACCCGTCCAGGCACCCGTCCAGGTACCCGTCCAGGTACCCGTAAAGGCACCCGTCCAGGCACCCGTCCAGGCACCCGTCCAGGTACCCGTCCAGGTACCCGTCCAGGTACCCGTCCAGGCACCCGTCCAGGCACCCGTCCAGGCACCCGTCCAGGTACCCGTCCAGGCACCCGTCCAGGTACCCGTAAAGGTACCCGTCCAGGCACCCGTCCAGGCACCCGTCCAGGCACCCGTCCAGGTACCAGTCCAGGCACCCGTCCAGGCACCCGTCCAGGCACCCGTCCAAGTACCCGTCCAGGTACCCGTCCAAGTACCCGTCCAGGTACCTGTCCAGGCACCCGTCCAGGCACCCGTCCAGGCACCCGTCCAGGCACCCGTCCAGGCACCCGTCCAAGTACCCGTCCAGGTACCCGTCCAGGCACCCGTCCAGGCACCCGTCCAGGCACCCGTCCATCAGTCACCAGAGCGATAAATACTGACCCTAGCCACCTGGTGCCTATCCTAGCCAGCTGGTGCCTATCCTAGCCACCTGGTGCCTCTCCTAGCCACCTGGTGCCTATCCTAGCCACCTGGTGCCTATCCTAGCCACCTGGTGCCTATCCTAGCCACCTGGTGCCTATCCTAGCCACCTGGTGCCTATCCTAGCCACCTGGTGCCTATCCTAGCCACCTAGTGCCAATCCTAGCCACCTAGTGCCAATCCTAGCCACCTGGTGCCTATCCTAGCCACCTGGTGCCTATCCTAGCCACCTGGTGCCAATCCTAGCCATCTGGTGCCTATCCTAGCCACCTAGTGCCAATCCTAGCCACCTGGTGCCTATCCTAGCCACCTGGTGCCTATCCTAGCTACCTAGTGCCAATCCTAGCCACCTGGTGCCTATCCTAGCCACCTGGTGCCTATCCTAGCCACCTGGTGCCTATCCTAGCCACCTGGTGTCAATCCTAGCCACCTGGTGCCTATCCTAGCCACCTGGTGCCTATCCTAGCCACCTGGTGCCTATCCTAGACACCTGGTGCCTATCCTAGCCACCTAGTGCCATTCCTAGCCACCTGGTGCCTATCCTAGCCACCTAGTACCAATCCTAGCTACCTAGTACCAATCCTAGCCACCTAGTGTCAATCCTAGCCAATCAGAACAGCGAACAATGTAAACAACACAGGGAATAAGAAAGGGGAGAAGTCAAATGTTTCAGCCAAGTTAAACATTTCCCCCCACGCACCCCCCCCCTCTCCCCCACCATACCCACGTACCCTCATACCCACCATCTGGCCCCAGGTTGGCCCGGACCCTGAACACTGATGCCAGCCGACAATCACTGCCTTAATAGGCAGGGCAACGACCAATTATTGTCCTGGCAATTTGAGGCTGTATCCTGCCCACCTGCCACAGTCACTAATAATGTGCTGATACCTGATGCACGTCCCGCTCCGTGCCCTCTGATACAGCCCCGGGCACCGACTTCAAGTAGCACTGCACGGTAGTTGGCCAGGCAGGAGCACCAGGAGCACCACCACAGCTGCTGTGTGCAGTAGCCTGAAACACCGCAGCTGAGATATACAGTAGCCTGGAACACCGCAGCTGAGATATACAGTAGTCTGGGACATCGAAATTGGTGCGTACAGTAGCCTGAACACTGCAGCTGGTACATGCAGTAGCCTGAACACTGCAGCTGGTACATACAGTAGCCTGAACACTGCAGCTGGTACATGCAGTAGCCTGAACACTGCAGCTGGTACATACAGTAGCCTGAACACTGCAGCTGGTACATACAGTAGCCTGCACACTGCAGCTGGTACATGCAGTAGCCTGAACACTGCAGCTGGTACATACAGTAGCCTGAACACTGCAGCTGGTACATGCAGTAGCCTGAACACTGCAGCTGGTACATGCAGTAGCCTGAACACTGCAGCTGGTACATGCAGTAGCCTGAACACTGCAGCTGGTACATGCAGTAGCCTGAACACTGCAGCTGGTACATGCAGCTGCCTCTGGTACATACAATAGTCACTGTCGGAAAAATCAACACTATTTACTAACTTTCATTTTAATAGGCAGATAATATTGTTGTTGATTTACTACTTACAAATCAACTCAAAGAAAACGAAATAGCAGAGGAATTCCTCGGAAGAAAACGGCGATATCATTGCCGTATGTCACCATTAAATTTATCAGCTCATAATAATATGAATATCAGCTCATAATAATATGAATCACTTTAACTATCAGTCTAGCATTAGAATCAATAAAAAAATATTCTCTATGACTGGATCTAATATAATTACTAACGAATTAAAGTCGACCTCCCATTGTCAATAACAGAACAGTATAGGAACCGGCTGAGAGCCGAGAGGAAGACGCCATCAAATTTTAAAGTAAACAAGTCTCGCTGAAATTCTCTTGAAGCTCCGCAATTTTCCCTCTAGACACAGTGTTATGGGATGTGAGGAGCTCCCATCATCAGCACGGTCTTCGTCAAGATTCAGGGAAGTGTTCGATACCCGTTATATGTAGTCAGTCCTGGCCAGTAATGTTAAGTAGATTAAGGTACCGGTTAGAACGCTTGGAGAGCCACCCAAACAGGGTAATTGTGAATTAAATGATTCGCTCCTCTGTCACCAGAGGGGTTGGACGTCGAGCTTGGGCTGTCAGTGGCTGTTTGACGCTGCATAGTGGTGGTTGCCCATTGGTGTGGAGTGCCTGCTGGCCGGGGCGGTGGCTAGCATATTGGCGGCGGCTGGTGGTGGCAGCATCCGCCGTGTGAATACTGTGCGTTTGGATTTCTCTGCTGCGGTGGATTGGTAGCAAGTGGCGGTTGCACTCCTGGATGGGTTGGGCATGCAGGTTACGGATCTTCTCGGTCTGGAGAAGTTTTCGCCCTTCCGTGTGGCGGCGATGTTTCCCACGTCACCTATATATGTGCAGTTCGTAGAATGTTGGAATGAGCGGACGGTTCTCCTTCCTGGTACCGCTTTATCGATGACGGTTTCTGATCTGTGTGGCCCCCCTGACCTTTGTGACCATTCACGGTGTGCCTCTAAATTTTCCTGAGGTGGAGCTCTCCTAGGTGTTTGCACGCTTTGGTACAGTGCTGCGTCATCGGTACAACGTTTTGAGTGTGCGACGGCTATGGGTCCTCCGTCTGGGTACTTGTACGCTTCAAATGCATATCACGGGCTCCATTCCTTCCAAGGTTTTGTGTTGTGGCGTCTATCTGCAAGTCTTCTATCATGGTCAGGCCCGCACTATCTTTCAGTGTGGTGAGGAGGGCCACAACGCAGTCAGATGTGGTGTTCCTCGCATGGAGACCTCTTCAGTTTTTCGGGAGGGGGATTTTTCCCCCTTGAGTGTCTGGGCTGCCTCCTCAGTGGGTCCTCGTCCTGCGGGTTTGCTTGGTGGTTTACCTGCGGCGGCTGTACCTGCTGTTCCGTCTAAGCCTGTTGTGTCTCCCATGTCGGCTTCCGTGGAGGACCTGGCTGCCACTGCTTCACGTCTTCAGCTTCCAGTGGATGTGGAAGTGCATCCGGTTCCTGGTGCATCCGTGGTGAATGTGGGTGGTGTTGTAGGTGTGGTGCTGGTGCCTCCTGTTGAGGGGGTGTGCTTCTTGCGGCTGGCTATGATGTCTCCCCGGGGTATTGTCCTCAAGGATGGTGGCGTTCCTGATGCCCGTGTTCCAGTGCCGCCTTTTACTACTCCTGGTGGTGTGTTCCATGAGGGGGTGGTGTGCTCCATGAGGGGGCGTTGTGCTCCCCTGCTCCTCGCTGGATGTGACTTCGAGAGAGCGCTCGAGCAGTAAGGGGGCCCCCTGGCAAGTGGGTTGAGGGGCTTCACGCGGTATAGCCTCGGATAGTCCTCCCCCCTTTCTATTTCTCCTGCGTCTGTTGAGGATTCCGGTGGTGATTTGGTGCCTGCTGATGGCGTGATTTCCTCGGTGACAATGGGCGTGGATGTTGCCAGAGGCGCACTTCGAGAGAGCGCTCATGCAGTAAGGCGCCCCCAGGCAAACGAGTTGAGGCTTCGCGTGGTATAGCCTCAGATAGTGCCCCCCACCCCCCTCCTAGTTCTCCTGCGTCTGTTGAGGTTTCCGGTGGTGATGTGGTGCCTGCTGATGGCGTGATTTCCTCGGCGACAGTGGGCGTGGATGGTACCAGGGCGGTGGCGGCGGGGTCTTAGCATACTTCGCCAGGTGATGCAGGCACTGTTCGCCTCCTGAATTGTCCATGGTCCGACATTCCTGTGGATTCCTCTTCTGTGAAGCAGCGGACGGTTGGCCCTCACGTTGCAGACGCCGCCCTTGCGGTGGGTCCCAGTATGCCCCCTAGAGGGTCTGTGGGGTTGGGGTGTTCTCGATGGGTTTTCGATGGCACCTGCTCTTGTTTGTGTGTCTTTAAATGTGCGTGGTCTGAATGCTCTTGCAGTCCAGCTGGGACTAGTGGATGTGCTTCGGGAGCAGCGTGTGGATGTGGCTCTGATTCAGGAGCACATTTTTTGGGAGGCATCTGTTCTTCAGGGGTTGTGTGCTGATTATCATGTGTTGAACCCGCCGAGGACGTCCTTTGGAGGTACACTTGTGTTATTTTTGTGGAGGGCATCTATTTCTGTACTTCACACGGAAATGGATATTGATGGGCGAGTCTTGTTTGTGCGGGCGGAGTATTTGGGGGGGTTGTGATTCCGTTCTTGATGGTGTATGCCCCTTCTGGGGTGGCGCATCATCGGGACCGGGATGTGTTTTTTCGGGAGGGACTTCTGCCCTTCCTGCAGCATGATACGAAGGACTTGGTCTTTGGTGGTGATTTTAATTGTGTCACGAGTGTGTGGGATAGCTCTAGTGCCCACCCGCTAAATGTTTCGGCCGCTTTGCTTGAAGTTTTGCGTTCATGCGGGTTTCGCGTTGCTGCTGTTTTGTGCGATGGTGCGTTGGAGTATACCTTCGCTGCGCATGGGGGGAGTTCTCGGTTGGATAAGTTCTATGTTTCTGGTGGGGAGTGTTCTGTGTTTGACTTCCGCACTGTTCCTGTGGCTTTCTCGGATCATTGTTTGAAAATGGTCCGGGTTGGTGTCCGGAGTCAGGTGCATGTGGGTCCAGTGTGGTGGAAACTTAATTGTCAGTTGTTTTGTTGTCTGTGTATTTGTGCACAGTTTCGGGTCTGGTGGGTTGGGTTCCTTACCCAGAGGGCTGCCTTCTCTTCTCTCTTCGTTTGGAGTGAGTGGTGTAAGGTGGAGTGTCGGAAGTTCTTTAGCGTTGTTGCTAAGCGGGAGGCGGCCGGGAGGTTTGGGCTACTGCGGTTGCCTCAGGCGTGGCTGTCTAGTTTGTATGTGTGGTTGAATGCTGGTGTTGACTGCTTCAGGGATATTTCTGAGTGTAAGGAGCGTATTTGTGCTTTGTGTGTGGAAATGACTGGTGGTGTTCGGGTGCATCCTCGTGGGGCTGAGCATGTGGATGGGGAGTGGCTC